ATATTGGTCTAACATTAATGAACAATTGAAGATAAAAAGTCTTCCAGTATTATCATGRTGAATCTTTCGATTTCCCTTGAACTTGTGCCACATTTTAAATTGTTTTGGAAGAAACTTTTTGTGCTCTCTCAAGTGTGAAAAAAATATTCAGTTTAGAAATGGCAAGATGTAGTCTACTGAGGATGCAGGGTTCTAGTGGAAGAAACTTTTTGTGCTCTCCCAAGTGTAAAAAAAAAAAATATATAATCAGTTTAGAAATGGCAAGATGTAGTCTAGTCAGGATGCAAGGTCCTAGTGGAAGAAACTTTTTGTGCTCTCTCAAGTGTGAAAAGAAAATATATATAATCAGTTTAGAAATGGCAAGGTGTAGTCTAGTCAGGATGCAGGGTTCTAGTGTCTGTGATCCATGCCAGGTGTCTCAAGTTCACAGAACTTTGTTTGTTAGAAAATAATAATAATAAGTATTTGGAGCACAATACTAATGTCTCTCTATATGCTCTTACAATATGAGAAAATGAGATAGATAGAAATATAAAACTATTGTAACAAACTAATTCAGACCAATAATAMACTATTAGGGTATAATAATAAATATATGTAGCAACTGTCACCAGTCAATATGTATCTGTCATAAAAACTAAATAATACCTAAAGAAAAATGTTTGTTAAAAAGATGTTTTAACAGAACTTTTAAAATTACTTAGAGAGCTAGATAAACGAATGCTGTTGGGAATAGGGTTCCATAGTCTTGGAGCAGCTGTTTGAAAAGCTCTGTCTCCARTCTTTGTCTTTGTTGCTCAGCATGTCAAAGTGAATAACGAAACTTGGAAAAAAATYSGARTCCCTGATGGGAAWTGAACCAATAGCTTTTTTTTTGTATTTTAATCAGATGCTCTAACATTATTCTACAGGGCCCAGTTGAATGAATAGTGGATAATACTATCCATTGGATAATTTGTTATTCAATAGATAAAGTAATGCTGTTATTCAATAAATGAGGATAGCAATGTCTACTTTTCGTGCAACCAGGCTGAGACTCTTGTTGAGCTAATGGTCAATACTGGGTTGTCTAGATAGTTAATATTATTATACTCTGCCATGTGCTTTCAATCCTTAATACATAGATATACTACAGATCTACATATAGTAGGTGGTATTACCTCACTGGGCAGGTTTTCTAGCTGTTTTGGACAGCAATAATGAACAACTAATCATTGTGAGGTTAAAGTAATGAACCAAGTTAATCACAGGCAATTTTCTTTTCCTGAAGATGTCTGTTTCATGCCTTGGTTACAATCGTAGATATTAATTTGAAGCATACATACATTAGAACATGCTCAGCGTTTGAGCTTAGTACTCATCAAAGGTTTCTTAGGAGAATAGCTCAAGCCGAAGTAGTTATGGATTTAGAAATATTTATCTATGTGTATCAGGGGGGCTTAAAATAATGGCTCGTTAGTGGTTGCTCAGTAGCAGGTCATTATGATTGGCCAAACTAGTTCTAGCTCAGATATTATTTTTTAACTTATTTTTTAAGTCTTCTCACRTAAGGACTTTAACCGTAGGCCCTGTCTCCCAACCCTTCCTAACCTGCAGTAAAATGGAGGACATAAGAGAACCTGTTGAATTATTCGTGTTAGAGTAGGGGATTGTCTCCCGGTTCAACAGCCTATCCCAATCTGGAGGCATAATACTAACTTACTAACAAATCACTCATGATTGTAAGCTGCACAGCTGCTAATAGTGCCTTAATATGCAGCCCGTAAAGTCCTCCACTGGTCATTAATGTAAAGCGCATTGAGAACGTTGTATAAATGGGCTATACAAGAACCTCACATTGTTATTCTTATTATTAATTTCTTGATCAACATTAATTACTGGTTGAAAGCCAATAAACTGAYCAGCAGGGGAAAGATTCAATGACTGACATGTCCAATGCTTATTGCTATTAAGACTGCTAAAAATGTGTTTAATTAATTTTTTTGAAATTTATTGATAATTCRTAGGGTGTCAAACCTGAATGTCTTGAGAAAGTGATGTCTAAAGATGTTAGAGAAATTATCAATGGCTGTACACATCCCAAGAAGGAATCGAGGTAAACATTAGCTGTGCCAATGTTTCCTGTCTTGCTTCAAGAACCTCATGACTGTCTCTTGGGATATCAGTGACCTTGTTGACACCAAAATTGTGAATTTTTTACTCKCRARAGAGKCAGAAAAAGTAACGAAWCTCAATTTYATCCAACTCTRAAACAACCTCTGGTTCTTAGGTTTTACGAAWATGAAATCCACAGAATCTGACAAAAACTCTTAAAATCAAGTTTGAGACATGCCCAACAACCTGTACTYAGAAGATTTTGAGTCCAAAGTGTTAGAATTTACAAATCAAAGAAATTAGAAGTCCCAAAACCCTGAGATGTGTGAGCATTTTAATCTGACATTCCGTGTCTTTTATATATCATAGATACAAGATTCATGATCTGCTGATTCATCCATTCTTTCAAGAGAACATTGGTGTAAAAGTTGAGGTGACCGGTTCTGAATATGACCAATCAGGTGGCCTTATTAAACTCCAGCTACATCTAGAAGACCCTAAAAAACGCAAAGAAAAGCACAAGGCAAACGAAGCTATACAATTTGATTTCCACCTGGATAACGATGACCCAACACAAGTTGCATCTGAGATGGTGAGTGTTAACTAATAACATGTCTATAACCCCCCTAACCATTGCTTGCTCACAGTTATAGGTGTATATAGGCTCTTGTAGGTGCTTGCTAAACAGTGRTGTACTTTCCTGCTGGTAAGTAATCTGGTTTATGAAATGCAAACCAAGAACGTGATTGAGTGCCATCTGTGTTGTACAGGTTTGTGTAGACTACAATAAGGCAGCATACCAAAATGAAGTGGCGTGTACCCTGAACAGTGGATGCAGTAAATTGCTGTSAGGACATTTGGACCATGAACACTTTTTGTCACTTTTTTAAAATGCATACTGTAAATCTGGGAAGCACCGGTGGTGTGTGTGCTGCTAATGCGTCACCTCTCACAAATGCGGCACGAGTTCAAGTCCTGCCGATCTCGATGTCGTATGTGAGTAGAGTTGTTTGTTGGTTCTCTCCTGTGCTTCGAGGGTTTTTCTCTGGGTACTCCGGTTTTCCTCTCTCCTCAAAAATCAAGAGCTTAGAGCTTTGAGCTCTCACTTAGTTTGGAGCCTAGCTCTGTTGTGATTGTCCCACGCTGTGATACAACAGTGAAAAGCTTTGTAGAAATCATTCTTTGAGCTAATCGATTGGAAATAAGATTTATTTTGATCACTGWGTGTATTTGAACTCAGTGCTTCATTTTAGATGGTTTGAAACAATAACCTAAATAGAACTTGAAGTGTTAAAGGTCCAAGTGTTTTCACTGTAATAATGGRATTTATAAATAAATAGTTAGTATAAACTAATAAAACAGCAATATTGGTAGAAGTAATGAGACAATAACACTAGAGCTAGATTTGAGAAACACAAAGGATGCTGAGAGAGACCACAGTATCATAGGAAACCTGGTTATTTAATAAAGGGGAAAAACAGATCAGCAACAAAATTGGCAAAATTTACATCGAAACACTTATTTACCTACAGTCAGTTTCACATTACTTTACACCTTTGGGTTCCAAACCATGTTTGGAAATTCCCAAGTTGGCGACCAACTTCGGAACTTCAGAACAAAGTTTGTTATGAACTTCTGAACTTCCTGCCAAAGTTCAGAACTTGGTTGATTTTTTTTACARCAAACAAACAAAATTGTCAACCAGGAGCTTCTGGATTTCCTTTGGGATATTCATTTSGGAACTTCAAATTCTACATACMAWACCAAGTTCCTAACTTCGGCCGGAAGTTTAATRTTCATGATGAACTTAGTTTTGAAGTACCGAAGTTGGTWGCCAACTTTGGAATTTCCAAACATAGTTCGGAACCCGAAGCTGTAAARTAATGTGAAACTGACTGTAATTGATTCTTACACAAACCTGATCACGACATTGGTTCATGCCGGTATTCAAGTTTTTGGTTTTCATTTACTAAACTAAATTTGCYAACCCAAGGAGACTTGTATATTTTAGGGTTTTGTTCAATTATCTTCATCCCCAAAAAAGACTATCTCTTTTGTTTAGGATGACATTTTGTACTCGCAAGACAGTGTCTTTTGCTGAGGATATTTGGAGATTAGGAAAAGTAATGGTGGAAATATTATTTTTTAAATAATATTTATTTTCTGTATTAGCAAGTTTTTGGACTAGACATAAAACACAGGGGCATAGTTATATTGTAGTTTAAATTGATAAAAAAATTGTTTGCATGTAAAATTTAGACTAAGGCGAGATAAATGGATTACCTTCCAAGAGGTACCTGCTAACTACTGTAATTCATTAAATGATTCATTACACAACAATTAAATATTATCATGGCATCGAGCTGTTCAAAACAATTCTGATGATAAAATTTGATAAACGATGGATACAGGTAAAATGCAAGTCTAAACAACATATATGAGGACATGTTGTAAGCATGTTGAAGGAGGAATAGCATACCCTTATACATCATTCCAGTTGACATTATGTGTTGATTATCCATAAGCAACAGACACACCTGGATTTCAAGGTATGTTGTACGTCTTRAAGATTTCTAACACCGTTGGTAACAGTATCATATTATTAACCTTGCTTGATTGAAATCCACTATAAAGAATGATGTGTTTAACRTTTGACTGTGTGTTTAACATTGCTCACTTGATATTTTCTGKTTTTTATCCTCCACAGTGAAGGTTGGCAAATTGATTTATCATTTGTGGATAAGGATAGAAGCTTTTTTAACATTTAAACAGATTTTCTTTCGTTTTCATATACAATCTGACATGACTTAAAATAATCACCAGTCATTAGACAATGTGTGGCCAGAATCCACCTTTTCGGCGCTAGCCATCACTGGGTATCAATTGTTTTAGATTGTGTAACGGTCACAAAAAGGTTCCGACATTGTTCTCGAATTTCTGTTCAAATGTACTGACTCTAAATGAACTATTTACTTGGTTAATGTTTAGTAAGTTCTCTAAATACAAGTAAATGATCATTTTTCTAGCTTGATTGAAGCTTTTCTTACTGCTGTTTAGATAGCTTACTAAAGAAATCTACCTTAATTTTCTCTTTAAAGTCAGTGAATTTGTATGGGAATCCGAGAACGATGTCCAAACGTTTTGGTGACCGTAACACAATCCAAGCTAGCGCCGAAAAGGTGAATTAGAACTCGTCTGGTCTAATCTTTGCCTTACTGTTCATTTTGACCTGTAACTTTGAGCCAGAAATAAGGCATGACTGAGCTAAAGCTAATTTGACCAGTCTTCATGATCAGCAACTGACCAGCCATTATTTTAAGCCCTGTGTTCACTTGTACCATTTCTCTTTTATCATCCTCTACTATTACTGTAGATTTGATGCATTTCTTCAAATACCATAACCTTTTTAAGCCCCGTGTTCACTTGTTACATTAATTTCTCTTTTATCATCCTGGGCCCAGTTGTTCAAAGCGTGATTAGTGCTAATCCTGGGTTAACTCTCGATAAGACCTATAGAGTTAATCCTGGATTAGCGCTAATCCAGCTTTGAACAACCCTGTACTATTACTGTAGATTTGATGCATTTCTTTAAATACTGTAACTTTTATTCCACGCATTCAGAAATGATAATAACATTGTCCTTTTTCCACTTCTTTTCTTTGGGTACNTTTTTATCCTCCACAGTGAAGGTTGGCAAATTGATTGTTTGAAATTTTAAACCATAGGAGATTGATTATGCATTGATCAGTTTACAGGCAAATACTAGGATTCTGCATTCGTCTTGTTTATTACTAAAATGTCCATTCTCCATGGAGGGTTGGGGTGGGGTCATGTTGCAAAGGGGTGCATTTTAATGCTTTCTGCTTATTGAGGCACTCCCCCTGATTTATCCAACATGTTTTTATCATTTGTGGAATAAGGATAGAAGCCTTTTTTAACATTTAAACGGATTTTTTTTTCATTTTCATATACAGTCTGACATGACTTACAGTGCAACTACTCCAACCTCTAAGTGCGACTAAGCCACCTCTACAAATTTTCTACAAATTAGCCAAAAAAAAAAACCAGGAATCTGAACAATAGAATTGCTACAAATCGGACAAATATCTATGGGTTTACACGGATTAGAAGACTGCCGGCACCTTTGTTATCGAATATAAATGTGCTTTCACATAGCAACATAGTGATAAGATCTAACAGTGTCAGCCTGATGAATATCTTTGTCTGGAAGAAACAAACTGTAATCATAAAGACTGTGTTTTATACGGTCTCTAATTTGCTTTCCTGTCGTATTTGAAGTCGTACATTACTATTTTTCTATATCTTTCAAGGGCGGATCCAGGGGGAGGGTCGGGGGGGTCACAACCCCCTGTCATTCCTGAGGTCAAATGGGCTTCCTGTGGTAAAAATGCGACTGGGATTCCTTTGCCCAACAAAATTTACCCGTGAGACCCCCCCTTCAAAAAAACCCTGGATCCGCCCTTGTCTTTGGTGACACAAATCACTAATTTGCAAAGAAAATATATTACAAGCTCTTCTTTATCATTTAGTTTTATCAATCGGAACAACAGAAGAATATTTAAATTCAAAATTTGCCGCTAATCTATTGTCTAAATACTATTCTAATTCATTTTGACCATTAACTTTCAGCCAGAAATAAGGCATGACTGAGCTAAAGCTAATTTGACCAGTCTTCATGATCAGCGACTGACCAGCCGTTATTTTAAGCCCTGTGTTCACTCCAACCATTTCTCTTTTATCATCCTCTACTATTACTGTAGATTTGATGCATTTCTTCAAATACCGTAACCTTTTTAAGCCCCGTGTTCACTTGTTACACTTCT